ATAAATATATAAAAAGAGTGTGTGTGTATATATATATATATATATATATATATATATATATATATATATATTAAAATAATATAAGGATACGCTAGAAAAATACAGCCACTGTTATGAAAAGTGAGCTATTATATATTTTGTTTGATTTAAAATTATATTTAAATAAAATAAAAATAGTATATAAATAAAATAATTACAATGGGAAAACATTGACGTAATATAGTTAAATATTGGTTTTTAATGCATTTTTAAATAACTTACATTCAAATAAAATAATTATTAAATAAATAAAACAATTAGTATACATTTAGGAAACACATCTGCTTTAATATAATGATATGTTAGCTGTTATATGCAGTTATTCTCAATTTGTCCATAGTCTTAAGAATGATGCTTTCGGGGCTGACAGACCCATGCTAACCAAGAAAAACCTTGACCTTTTGTTCCAGCATGATGTTTTCTGTATTTCTGCAGATTAAATGTCACACTGAGACACATGGACGTGTCCTGTGAAGCATATGATCACTTCCGCCACTGCCTAGACTGGTTACAGCAGATGACAGATGGAAAGATGAATTTCACGGTAGAGCCTGTGAAGAGCTCCTTTCCTCATTTCTTTCAGTATGCAAGGGTGGAACAGCTGGTGAGGAGCACTTGTCTGTGTGTATTTACTCAGTAAATCATTCAATTGTATCTTTGAATATGCATCATATACAATGGTAGTCAATTATTTAGTTTGCTTGTTCCGGTCCCCTCGAGCACGCTCTTGTTACTGCCCTTAGGGGGAGCTGTTGATTCTTGAAGTAGATATTGTGTTCAGATTAACAGCGTTAAACAAATGTTATGTATTCTCTCTTCTGCAGGAACTTTGGAAGGTGACAGCAGAAAGACTTTAATACATAGAACCAAAGGTTATGTTTCCTTTTAACACCAGGATTTGTAATGTTTGCAGAATTAATCTTTGTAATTCCTATTTTACTTAAACATGAAATTCAAAGTCCTTAGTTTGATCATTTGCTTAAAAGTGATTTATTAAAAACGTTATTAAAAAAAGCAAAGGCTTTTCACTTTTCATGTGAAAATTGGTGCTGATGTATGTTTTACTGTGACCTGCTTGAATTTTTAGCGTTAGAAATTGTGGCAAGTTCTTCAAAGGATCATTGGGAGAGACTTTGGGTAAATACTGTTGACATGTTTTATGAAATTTTGAAAACAAACACAGAATGTATTGTTATTGGGGTAGTAGTATATTATTACCTATGCCAAAACTGTGCTTCAGCAAATATACATTTTAAGACACTGACGAGCATCCATAAGTAGATCTGTAGATCTTTGAAGATCTGTGTATTGCCATTAAATGAATTATGCTTTAGCTCACATGTTGGTGGATATATATTTTCTAAATTATTAAAACCGTTTAATGAAAATATGCAGCAACAGAGGTGAAGTGGCTGAATGCTATTGGTTTGTTTCCTTCTCTGAACACTAGAGTGTGCAAGAGTTGAGACAAGAACATGCTCACCTCATAAAGTAGATCTGATCAATATTTCTTGTTTTGAGTGATTGTTCATGAAGCTGTTCAATCTATAAAGGAACCTGGCATGTGAACTTAGTTTGTGGTGTTTCAAAGCACAGTTGGAAGGTAGAGAGCCTGAAAACAATAAAAATGTAATTCAATTAAAATGTAAAATAAACTTAAAATGTAGTTAAACTTGTTGTTACCAATAATGTTGCCTTTAAAGCTTAATGCATGTATTTCCCCCAACCAATTAAATGCTTCTTTGCATTTAAATGCATTTTGTATGTACCTACAACAGTCTTTGTAATATTGTTGTATCCACTCTGACTGTAACATTTACAATTTGGGAAATATGAAGTGCTGACAAAACACTGGTGATGCTTCTTTCCTGGAATTGGTGTTTTTGGACCAGTCTTTTAAGTGAATGAATCATTCTCGTTCACTTTCATACTGGTGAACATGATTTCACCAAGTACAACATGTTCCTGGATCAACATCCTTGTTGATACTGGAACAACATTCCTATCAACCAATCAGAATTGAGGGATACCTTTTCAGGAAAGATCTGTTTTAGGCTTACGATCAGGGTTAGGTGCTTCTACACCTTTGTTAATCAGCTATCATTTCACACTGATTTTAGGAATAAATTATGGGTAAGGTTAGGTTTAGGAGTAGGGATTGGGTTAAGTCTATATTTTTGGACCATTATGTTGATCCAGGATCAACAAAAGGTGTTGACCCAGGAACATGTTGTAGGCTACTTGGTGAAATCACGGTGACCGAACCCCTCATACTACCTACCTCTGAGACTGACAGTAACACGAACCAATAGCATTCAAGCAGGGGGTGTTAAGAAGCATTTAATTGGTTGTGCATACTAAACGAGCATGCCCAGTTCACTTAACGAGTATGCACGAATCACATGCAAACAAAATGAGGGAATGAACATGATTTGATCAGTTATTTTTAAACCTTTATAAAATTATTTCAAATAAAATGCATTATTTTTGGCGTTATTTTGATTAAACATAAGTTAATACAAAATAATTAATGACAAATAATAATTACTGAAATAAAAGTCACGCTTAAATTAAACTTATGAGAGTTTAAGAAAATAAAGAAAATAAATACTGCACATGAAAAAATGCTATAGTAATTTATAGTAAATACTAGTGTTTTTGAACCATAGGCTACTATAGTAATGTGTATTATACTGTATATAATCATAGTATTTACAACACTTTGTTAATGAATGCTAGAGCATACTGTAGTATTAACTGTAATGAACTGATAAACTGTAGTATAATTTAGTTTTTACAGTAAACTGTAGTGTATTGTTGTATAATATACCCTATAGTTGTAGAAAACCTAGTACAGTATTGGGTAAAGTAAATTGTTTATATTACTATAGTTGTTATACTGTATTACCACAGCAATTATAGAATTACCACAACAAATGAATTCTAGTACTTTACTACAGTATGGTTCAAAAACACTATAGTATTTACTATAAATTACTATAGTATTTTTTCATGTAGAGAGTTGTAAGGCATTCCATGTTTAGCTGCATTTACAATTGTAGCCAAAGCTTTTTATGCAGCAGGTTTTTAAATTTGGAATTTCAAAAGGTGTGTGGAATAATTAGTGTGTGAAAACAATATATAGGCTACTATTGTTGTACTTTTATAGCTTGATAAAAGTCATGCTCTGTAACTGAAAACAGTGTTAAAAACTACTCAGCAACAATTTGTGTGATTCTCAAACGCAAGACTCAAAGTACATTTGCAGACATGCACATTTAAAGGGGTCATATGATGCGATTTCAAGTTTTCCTTTCTCTTTGGAGTGTTACAAGCTGATTGTGCATAGCATTTCGGTCTGTTTCGTGAGGAATCGGTTGGACGAATGATTCAATAACTCACTCATATCGCCACCTACTGGCATAAAGATGTAGAATAGAAAGGAACAGCGAATCTTTCTGCTGAACAGCGTTCTTGATTCAAAAGATTCGAGTCACGGAGATGAATCAAAACCAAGACTATTAGACTGGAGCTTCGATTACATTATGGGAGATATGAAGTGCTGACTGCACACAGCTGTGCTCGGTGCAAGGCATCTGACATTTCCGAGAGCAGCAAGGCTCTCTCTATTGGCTGGAGTCGGCGGATCCCCCAGCAAATCCCTCCACTCGCGAAAAAGGCCACTTCAAATGATCTTTTAAAGTCTGTCTGTGTTCCTCGCTCCTGCGCCCATCTCTTTCTTTTTCGTTCTTCCGCCAAGAACCTACTAGATTTCACCTCCTATACAGCAAAAAGGCACAGAGGTGAGTCTTAAAATGTCTTTAAGTATCATTACAGCAGCAGCGAACAGTGTAGCAAACGAGACGCAGCAGCGCTCCCACCGCTAAGCATAAGCATAAGCATGCGGTTTGTTTTAGTAATTCATAATCATAAGTGTATTGCGCATTAGACGTATAGAGGCATCGCTGCAGGAATTTATGCATTGAGCATTAATGCAATAGCGAGCGTGTTTCGTAATGGACGCGTTTCTTATGAAACATTGCAGCGATGTGATACCGTAGAACTGGTCTGCTGCAGCGATTCGATTTCCTCCATACATCTCTCGCTCCAGAACCGTTTGACAGGTCCGACCCAGTCGGAACCGGATACTGTTGCGTCTCCCTTCCACCAGCTGCTTTGTGTGCATCAAGTTTTTCCTCTGCTCTGAGACTGAGCCACCTGTCATTTAAATGCATCGTTTATTGCTTCCCATAATGGATTGAAGCTTTGTTTTGTTTTGTGTGTTTTTTTTTAATACATAACTGCATTTTTGCCCTGTTTTGCAATATTAAAAAGATACATTTCCTCTAGAAACAAAATTGCGAAAGATACTAAGCCTTGTTTTCAGTTATTTTTCTATGTTTTTCTTTGTCTTAAGCATAAACCTCATAAAATGCTGTTAGATTTATACTTAAAAGCACAACATTTAAAAAAAAAAACCTTAAAAGGGGTTAAGACTGAATAAATATGATTATTTTTAACAGTGATGACTTATAGTTGAACCATAATGGATTAATATATAGAACTGTTTGTTTGTCATTTTGTTTCCTAGACTACACTACACTACACTACACTACACTACACTACACTACACTACACTACACTACACTACACCACACCACACCACACCACACCACACCACACCACAGTACACACACCACACCACAGTACACACACCAACACACATACTGTGTTTCTGGCAGAAAGCATGGTTACCGAAGTCAGTTTAAGGGTGTGCTTGCTGTAGATTGTACACACACTTTAAAACTTAAAGATATAGAGCATATATATTTGTAAATTTTGCTATGGATGTGTTGGTTTCTGACACTAGTGATGATTATTTATACATCAGTTCAATATTTACCCCTCAGTCTGTATCGTCTACATACATACTGAACTCTCTATGACTTAAAAAAAATTTAAATTCAGTAAGATTATTTAAAGCTATATATAGTTTGACAACAAACCCAATTTTTCTTCATCAAATATGTTTACTGTTTTACTGTTTACTAGGACATTACTGTTGAATTTCTCCTTTTGAGTTGTGTTTCCTAAACATCCATGTGAAATGTTTACATGTTCAGCTGCGCTTGGTTTATGCTCTGTCATCATGGTAAACATAATTTTAGACTTGTTTGCTCTCTCTCCTGCAATATTATCTTTTAATTGCAGTTGCACACTGGATTCCGCTAAAGGACAATTTATCCTGTGAAAAATATCAATTTATTTTATGGTTAAAAATAAAAATTGGTAGCTGTGGTTGGCAGAACATGGTGACAGTATTTCTGGTATTACAGGATGGAATGGCATTTACCAGTCTACCTAAAGTAACAAAATCTATTTTTTACCTTAAAATGGTATAAAATATCTGATAACAAAAATAGTCTATATAAATAGTTTATATAAACTTTAATCATATGTGTTGTGTTGTGTCATGCAAGGACTTCTGTGACTGTTTGCTGTCTTTACCATAAATTATAGTTATTACTTACCAAAAACATTTATTTAGAGTAATAAAATTAAATATAATGCAATGTTTGCCATTTACAGTTTCCACCATATCAATGATCAAAAATTACAAAAATTGTAATTACAAAAATTAGTTTTAAGTTACAGTAAGTTTTACAGCGCAATGCTTGATTGACAAATCACCTGCTTATCAATTGAATTGTGGAGCAGGTTTGCGGGAATGCTTAATGTTTTTAGAAGGCACATTTAGGTTGACAGTGTACATGTAAAGACAATGAATAGTGTTTATTACTTGTGACACAGTTTGGCTGTTATTCATAGCAACCTCCCATCTGATGGTGAGAATCACATATCTTTGCCCAGTTTTTAAGATGCATTTGTAATTAACCCTGCAGTACTGTCTGTCATGCTATATTTTAAATGAATCAGCCGTGCAATTCTTATTATTGAGGTATTGATAGGCATGCATAAAACATGGCCAATTGCTTTTTAACTAGGATTTATCCTTTTAATAGCACCGCAGTTTACCCTACTGAGGTTGATCTGTCATCCAGACAAGAAAGACAGCCAGTAGTACAACTGTTTTCCTCAGCTGGTTCCCTTGGCAACTGTCTTGCAGTATTTAGCCGTTTGGAGAGGTTTTAATAGGCTGTTTAAATCATGCAGAGGGGAATTGGTGTAATGAAGTTTACCAATAGGCTTTAACGGGGTTAGAGATGAGCATTATGCCCAATGAACCGTGCTCATATCCTCCACTGACAGCTCAGTGTCTTTAGCCAGCTCAATGTTATCACTAGCCAACGATCAAAGTTCATTTTGTGCTAAATATCTGATCAGGATTATGATGATGATTTCTCAAAGCAAGCGATCTTTTTTTTTATTTTTTATTATGATCAGTTAAAGATTAGTCAATCACGTTTTTGTCATCTCTGAAGTTTGAAAATGAGCTGTATTGAGGATGTAGACGCTTTCATGTCTTGTTGCATACTGCTACTGATGTTATCTGGCTCCTTCAGCGAGGGGAGTCGCTCACAAGGCTGTGTTACGTAACACCAGAAAATTAGCATTTAAAAAATGGCTTCGCGTTTGGTGCTGTTGCTCATTGCTCTCTTGGGCCGCTAGCTTTAGTTCACACTCTGAGCTGAGAGAAAGAGGAGCAGGGGGATTGGTGGCGGCTTGGAGTTGTGTAATCCAGCACAGACGGCTATTGTTGGCTTTGAAATGGTCCCCCAGCACAGTGACCACGCGGAGACCCCTGATGAATATTGATTAGCTGCGCTGGCGTTGAAAGAGAATGAAATGTGATGTGAGCAAAGAGTGTCGGTTTGATTTTTATACTGAAAATAAGCAGATAAATGAAAGCTCATGTAATGTTTTTAAAGGACCTTGAAGGTGGTGGTGGATTTCCAGTGTTTTTATTGCCTGTACAGTCCTCTCTCATATTATCATCAGGGATCAATACAAATTATTTTTGTTTCTTTGAGGTTGTTTGGTCAGCCAGTTGTTCAAATGTATCTTTTATTATTTAAACATTTATTACTTTCATTTAAACGGCTTTATTTGCTTTTGATTTGCAATAACTGCTAGACATTACTAGAAATACAGCTATAATCTATATGATGTTCAATAACCGATTCATAAAAATGCATAAACACACTCTTAAGCTGGAAAACAATGTATGATCAACAATGTTTATGACTTTCATCTTCTCACAAACCATTTTTCAACAAATTTCAAGAAATCCACATCTGTGTTGGCCAGCTTGACGGCATTATGTCACAGAAAGAATAAAAAAAATTTATATAAATTTTCATAAAAACACAGGATTTTTTACATTTATTAAAAAAATTAAAGTAACAGTTTGAATTAAATTGCTCAAAAGCAAATGTAAAGATATTTACAATGTTACATTATTTCTGCTTCAAAGACATGCTGTTCTTGAAAAATGTATTGTGCTGCTTATTGTGCTTAATGTATTGGTGGAAATCACAACTGTTTTCAACTTTGATCATAGTTATTAGAATAATAGAAATGTTACTTGAACATCATATCAGAATGTTTTCTGAAGGATCATGTGACACTGAAGACTGCTAAAAAATTCAGCTTTGCATCACAGGAAAAAAATTAAAAATTAAAAATATATTCAAATAGAAAATGTCTAGGCCTATTTTGCACTGACTGACAGTGTCCAGACTGCATTAAACTTGGGCATGAAGCTGACCCACGATACTTTGACAATAAATCATTTCAAAGATGTATCCACACTCTTTTTCCGTCAGCATTCACTGTCACTCTCAGTCAATGAAATAGAATTAGTCCCTATCACTCGAGAAGGGAAAATCAGCTCCATCAGTCAAGTTGTCGTCCCCGGCTCTTTAACCCATTTTGCTTGCTGGATCCTCACCGGCGCATGACAACAGGCTTGTGTAACACATATTTTCAGAACCAGTTCTAACCGGTCGATGAGCCGTTGGGGTGCTTCTGAGAGACGGAGTGTCTGGATTTTTCTTGATTCTGCCGCTTCGATTGCGTAAGCGTCCTCCGATCTGGAGCACATGAGAGATGCACTTTCTGCTTCTCCTCTCCTGCACATGAATAAAGATGCCGTGGATCCGCTCCAATGTCCAGCGGGCGGCCAATTCTTCCTTCTGAATTGATTCCTCTGGACAAGCAAACACATAAGACTAGTTTCCTTTCAGTAGAGCAGGAAGACTGATTCTCAGCTTTCCGGTGTCCAGGCTGTGACAGAAACATACGCCATGACATTTAAACTAAGGAGGAACAATACTGGTAAAAAAACAAAACAAGGTGTTTAATTCAGCCAAGAACATTTTGTGCATAATAATTGCATGCCGTCAGCATGCTGCTCCTTTCCTAAGCGTATGTTCACTCATTATGAGAGCTGAAGATATGTTGGGATTCCCTCAGGCATTGGCTTTTCCCTTAGGCAGGACTATTCGTCCCAATTAATCTTAGCGCTAAAGTGTGACCGAGTGAGCTCGGGTGAGCTTCCCTGAACCCTGTGCCTGTTGGGAAGGTTTAACGGTACTTGAAAGTCACAGCGTTAGTCAACTGTCTGCTGCCCCCAGCCTTGTCCTCACAAGACTCTCCAGCCCAAGAAACGACTGCGACGGTTCCACAGTGCAAAAAGATCATCTGAGGGCCAGTGAGCGTCCAAGCCATGTTGTGATTAACACCAATTAACCGTTCTTTAATTAAGAGGCGTGATGGCCGACTGTCAGGACCACTGGAGTAGGGGAGGATTGATGGGCATGGCTGAACCTGCTGCTCAGAGAAAAGAAGAACTGTCTGTGGTACTGATCCCAGGACTGTCACTTTGCAGACTGTAAGATTTGCTCCCATCTGGTTGTTAATCAGTTTCTGATTAAATTTTTTTAGCACAAAGGCGTAAATGGTGATGTTAAAATACTTCCTTCTGTCCCAAATGAATATGCAGAGACAGCTATTTGTAGAGACAAGCTGTTTGTAGGTTCTCTGAATATTTTGAACACAGTGACACTGTGGTGCTATCTGAACATTGCTCAGATTGTTTGAGCCAGTGTATCATCATTTCATCCAGTGGGTTGAGTTTGGGGCAGAATTATCTGTTTGTCTGACTAATGTCAAATTTCTAGATGATATATTGTATATAAGATTTTTTATTTATCTCTTTTAATTTCATTTTTTAATTAAATTTAAAATCGAAATTTTTTTAGCCATTATTTTATTTTTTTAATTCGCTGTTTATATTATTTATATTATTTCTGTGGTATTTTATAAAAATCATCAAAGTAATTTGTATTATTTTATATTATAAAATACAGAAAAAATTAAAAATGTGATTTTTTTTTGGTGGTGATATATATATATATATATATATATATATATATATATATAAAGAGCTTGGTTCCAAAACGCGATAAATGCCATAAAAAATTGAGTTTCCGCCAAAATCGGTATTGTATCTGGTCGTTATTGAAAAGTCAATTTTTAATTTTACGCAAAATGCGATATCCGCCAAGTTATTCTGTCATGTTTTTCCCTTTTTTTCCAAACCGCGACAAACGCCAGTCTTCCTTTTCTGCAGAATGCGATATATCCGCTCAACCAATCACAGTGCACCATTCCACGCACTCTTATCAACCTACAAACAGCTTGTCTCTACAAATAGCTGTACAAATAGCTTTGAATACACCCGGCATCCTAGTTTTCCTCATCTATTTTGTACTTTGTGATCAACAAACAAACAAAAAAATTAGGGCTGCATGATAAATCACATGTGATTATGCGCATCTCATCAGTAAAGCCGGTTCTGTGAACAGTAAATCTCCATCACGTGCTTTCAGATGGAGTGGCATTTAATACACAGCCGTATATCACCACAATATCGCGTTCATAATCCCAGATGAGTCGCATTCGATTATGAACGCGATATTGCGTAGCTTGTCAGTGTAAGTGTTTTTATTTATGCCATTAATGTTTTTGTTAATACAGCGTATAGCACTAGTCAACTAAATTAATGTAACATGGCAAAGATGAATGCATTTTTGGAAGTTGAAGGTAAGGGAAATATAATTTTGAAATTTCTGTGGTTTAATGTGATATTGTTGTTCATGTATGTTCATGATGAAATTTTCTTTTATTGTTGTAATTAATTTATAGCATTAACAAGATGACCCGTTGAATTCTTTTTGGGAGAGATGACTGATTGAATGTATTTTTAGTCCAGTGCCTGCATATAAGATTAGTATTGACCAAGTTCAGAGGGTATCATATGTGGATCAATTTACTATGTTGTGTAGTTGTGTATTTTTCAATATGAAAAATACTTTTATATTGATTCAATGGATTTATTGCATTTAAAAAAAAAAAGAAAAAAAAAAAAAAAAAAAGGATTTATTGCATTTTGGGGGGGAAATAATAAAATATTATAATAAATCTTTAAAAATCTAAATCTGGATTTGAATTTTTAATGTTATTATAACCTAAAGATGCTATGTGAAAGTTTGAAACAGAATATAGTGGTTTTCATCTTGCCACTTTCTTGGTAAAGAAATTTTTTTTTTACACAAATTAATCAAAATGGATTTATAGCGTTTTGAAACCAAACTCTTCATATATATATATATGTATGTGTATGTATATATATATATATACTGTAATATATAGTTTTTATGTAGTTTATACCGTTTTTATTTTATATAAAGCATTATTTTACCATTTGTCATGAGCTGAACTCAAAGATCTAAGACTTTTTCTATGTACACAAAAGGCCTATTTCTCTCAAATATTGTTCACAAATCTGTCTAAATCTGTGTTAGTGAGCACTTCTGCTTTGCCGAGATAATCCATCCACCTCACAGGTGTGGCATATCAGGATGCTGATTAGACAGCATAATTATTGCACAGGTGTGCCTTAGGCTGGCCACAATAAAAGGCCACTCTAAAAACTCTTATCAACCTACAAACAGCTTGTCTCTACAAATAGCTGTACAAATAGCTTTGAATACACCCGGCATCCTAGTTTTCCTCATCTATTTTGTACTTTGTGATCAACAAACAAACAAAAAAATTAGGGCTGCATGATAAATCACATGTGATTATGCGCATCTCATCAGTAAAGCCGGTTCTGTGAACAGTAAATCTCCATCACGTGCTTTCAGATGGAGTGGCATTTAATACACAGCCGTATATCACCACAATATCGCGTTCATAATCCCAGATGAGTCGCATTCGATTATGAACGCGATATTGCGTAGCTTGTCAGTGTAAGTGTTTTTATTTATGCCATTAATGTTTTTGTTAATACAGCGTATAGCACTAGTCAACTAAATTAATGTAACATGGCAAAGATGAATGCATTTTTGGAAGTTGAAGGTAAGGGAAATATAATTTTGAAATTTCTGTGGTTTAATGTGATATTGTTGTTCATGTATGTTCATGATGAAATTTTCTTTTATTGTTGTAATTAATTTATAGCATTAACAAGATGACCCGTTGAATTCTTTTTGGGAGAGATGACTGATTGAATGTATTTTTAGTCCAGTGCCTGCATATAAGATTAGTATTGACCAAGTTCAGAGGGTATCATATGTGGATCAATTTACTATGTTGTGTATTTTCAACAGTTTGAAAATAATAAAATTTTATAATAAATCTTTAAAAATCTAAATCTGGATTTGAATTTTTAATGTTATTATAACCTAAAGATGCTATGTGAAAGTTTGAAACAGAATATAGTGGTTTTCATCTTGCCACTTTCTTGGTAAAGAAATTTTTTTTTTACACAAATTAATCAAAATGGATTTATAGCGTTTTGAAACCAAACTCTTCATATATATATATATGTATGTGTATGTATATATATATATATACTGTAATATATAGTTTTTATGTAGTTTATACCGTTTTTATTTTATATAAAGCATTATTTTACCATTTGTCATGAGCTGAACTCAAAGATCTAAGACTTTTTCTATGTACACAAAAGGCCTATTTCTCTCAAATATTGTTCACAAATCTGTCTAAATCTGTGTTAGTGAGCACTTCTGCTTTGCCGAGATAATCCATCCACCTCACATATATATATATATATATACATATACACTGCCTTTCAAAAGTTTGGGATCAGTAAGACTTGTAATGTTTTTTAAAGAAGTCTCTTATGCTCATCAAGGCTGCATTTATTTGAACAAAAATACAGAAAAAATAAACAGTAATATTGCAAAATGTTATTACAATATAAAATAATGGCTTCTATTTTAATATACTTTTCTTTGATGCAAAGCTGAAAAAAAATAATAATAACAACATAAAAGTGAGTAAAATGTGTTGGTTTTGTATATGTTGTTTTTGCTATTGTAACTTTAAGACCTCTGTGTGTCTTAACACTGTGATTGGCTAAGCTCTGGCAAGATGAGTTACTTAATACTAATGATATGTATATGTAGGTGGTGATATGTTTAAGTGATCATGGTTCTGATATCACAACCACAAAGGTGTCTGAAATACTGTTTTGGTAGTTTAAGAAATCCAGAAGTATATAGAGTAGTATAATTAAATAGTATGTTAAACTTTTGTATTTCCAAAGATCAAAGGAATTCCTTTAATGTCACATACAATTGTAAATATCATGACCTGGAGATTGTATTATCTACCAGAACGTCTTTGATTGTGACATTTTCGTAATCCATATATTCCGGCTTCCCACTCCCTGGAACTCCCTGTATCTTATCTCTGTCTTTGTCTTTCCTCAGGTGAAGTGAAAGGCAGGTGCTGTGTGCTGTCTCTCTCTCTCTCTCTCTTCATCTCTGTCTCGGTGAGTGCTACACATGGCTTCCTCACTCCTGACCCGCCAGCTGGCCATCTCCCTTCAGCATAACCTGCGTCTCGCCGCTCCAGGTAAAAATACCACGGAGAGATGGAGGACTAAGATACCCTCCGGTCTAAAAAGCTGGTTTAACTTCCCGGTCAGATAGAGGACAGAGACTGTAATGTTCTCAACCTACCAGTGACCCTCAAAAAGAGCTGGAGTTGTCACAGAGACTTTATCGAAGTGATGCAACTCCACGCTCAGCTTAGGAAGTGAGACGCTTCCTTTAAAATGATAATGATGTGCGGTTATGGAACCGAATGTTGAGAGGGATGCAGTTCAAAGTTTCCTAACCATGTAAATGAGTTACTGGGATCTGGTTTTGTCCAGCTTTGGCTAGTGAATTCTGCATTCGTAGAAAAGTCTGTGCATGTCTCGTCCTTCAGTGGCTGGTCACGCTGATTCAATCCTGCCAGCGTTCTTCATTAATCAGTAGCTCAGTAGTGAGACGTCCCATTCACTTCTGTAAACTTGTGTATCCCCTCAAGGGGTTACTACTGTTCAAATATGGCTATAAAAGACTGGCTGTTTAGATGTATTCGTTGACCACTGTTCAAATATACTGCAAAAGTACAAAAGGTCTTACAGAGTTCAGTTGGTTAATTACTTTGAGATGCATGAATGCATTACTAAGCATTTTTAGGAAGTTACTTTCACAGAAACTGACTCAACCTTTCATAATTCATAATTTCAATTTTGCATTAGGTTCCAGATATGTCAGCAAAACTGCCACAAAGACAGTTTCAGAGTTTGAATATGACGCCCCATCCATGAAAACTGCTGTGCCAGGTCCAAAGTCCCAGGTACACTCTCAGCATTTTGACACTTTTGCCATGAGGTTTGTCACTTGATTGCTGTGTGATATGACTCTGTAGGAAATAAAAAAAAATTATTATTTATTGGTATTTTACTGTAGGCTCCTTATATAAAAATCAAAAGTTTGGACACCCATGCTACTTATGACTTTTTTCCCGTTTTTCAAAATAAATAAGAATGAACACAAATGGAAGAAATCACACTTTGCTTTGATAACACCCTTTTTACACACACACATTTTCACAACCTCATTCATGAAGTGCATCCTGATCAAATTTCCAAACAGTACTGAAGGAGTTCCCATGTTTGCCTGACACCTGTTGGCCCTTTCCCTTCTCTATCCAGTCCAAAACAAGAAAGAAAGAAAAAAATAGAATTTTACAAATTTTAAGTCAAGTCAAGTCTCCATTATTTATATAGCACTTTTTACATTGCAGGTTGTGTCAAAGCAGATTTACAGTATTAAACAGGGAAATAGTGTCGCCTCTGGCCAGACGAAACCAGCAGTTTATTTCTTAAAGCTTAAGCACTTAAGCATAAGCATATTTCAAATCATAAGATAATTCATTTGTGTCCAATCTTTGTGTGTTTGAAGCATCTTTCAATAATGCTGCAGAACAGAATGACTAATAGGTTAATTTCTGTCATTCAATAGGAGCTGCTGAGACAACTCGGAGAGATTCAGGTGAGATAGACATGGAAACGAACTTTGATGTTTGCTCAGTCAGTACACACAAATGTACCTTTACAAACTTGTGTTATGCAATTAGATTGAGGTCTTACAGATTCTGTAAATGCAGTTTGTTACATTGCCAGTGCCGATCAGGTGCCGTTCTTTTAATGATTCAAGTATAATGAGTCACTTTTCCAGACAGTACCATACAAAACGAACAACTACATGAGAAACATTAACAGCAGTAAAGCTAAAGTGTGACAGCCTTCTGATGTGACATCCAGCCATATTTCAGCCTGCCTGGATGTCTTCTGCTTATTGAGTGATGAATGTATTTCGGGCCATAATTTATCTGAGAGCCGTCACAGTCTTCTGACCGCTTTGCTGTGGATGAGCACATAGATGTGAGCTGACAGGCATCGATGAAGCTAATATCACAGATTCGCTTCACCGCGGCTCCTGTGCGTGTCGTCCCCCGCACGAGAGCAGACATAAGAAGAGTCATAAGATGGGCTAAAAATAGATGCTGCATCAGGTTCAAAGCTACACAGGGGGAAAAGGCACTTTCATTAGATAAAGCACCGCTGCTCACAATTTTGCGGTAATAAGTCACAGTGCGAATCATGATATCTTCTGCTTTTTTCAGTTGTACTGTGCATGTGAGGAATAGTTAAAGGAATAGTTCACGCAAAAATGAAAATTAGCTGAAAATGTACTTAGGTCATTCAAGATGTCAATGAGTTTATTTATTCATCAGAACAGATTTGTAGAAATTTAGCATTACATCACTTGCTCACCAATGGATCCTTTGCAGTGAATGGGTGCCGTCAGAAACAAGAGTCCAAACAGCTGATAAAAGCATCACAATAATCCACAACACTCCTGTGCATCAGTTAACATCTTGTGAAGCTGCGTGTTTGTGAGAAACTTATCTATAAAGACGTTTTAACTTTAAATAGTTGCTTCCAGACAAAGTACGAGTCTTCTATTCATAATATTGCCCAGTTAAAAAAATCATCCCATCTGAATCAGCAGAGAAATATGCACAGATTAAGCACTGTTTATAATTGATTACAGTCTAAAATAGTTATAAATAAATACATTGGTGGATTTTGGTGTGAAAGAATAACAGTTGATTGGCTTTTTTTTTTTTTACTGAATATTAATATGGATTCTGGACTGGTATTTTGGCCCGAAGCGGCATTTTAAAGTTAAAATGCTTTAATGATGGATTTGTTTCTCACAAACACAATTTTTCACTTCTCAAGAAGTTAATTGGTGAACTGGAGTTATGTGGATTACTTGTGGATTTTTGTAATGTTTTTATCAGCAGCTGATGTAATGCTGATGTAAATTTGATGTAAACCTGATGTACATTTTCCAATTTTCTACACCTTGGATTCCCTGAGGGTGAGAAAGGTTTCCCAATTTTAATTTTTTTGGTGAACTATTCCTTTAAAGAGAATATATTTTACATTTTTGTGGGATTAAGTTTTGTTTTTCTGATGTTCAGCTCCTTCAGCCATTCACTGACTTGAAGGTGATGCCCTGCCAAAAACATAAATAAATAGTAATAACAATATCAGGTATGCAGATGGAGCACAAATCACCTTGATAGCAACATTCAGCTCTGCTTGTCTCCTGGTCTGCAGAATGTTGGAGCGATTCATTTCTTCTGCAACTATGAGGAGAGCAGGGGAAACTACCTGGTGGACGTGGACGGCAACCGAATGCTGGACGTGTACACACAAATCTCCTCCATCCCCATCGGTGAGCTCAGCCAATAAGCAGATCCCTTTTACAACACACTGACGCATCTAAAACAGGAAAGCAGACATCTTTAAATGAATGTTGTTGTCAGTTAGTACTGGCTTTTATTTAGTGTCAGGGGTATTTTGTGCCACTTGAAGGGATAGTTTACCCAGATAAACCCATTAATTTACCCTCATGTCGTTCCAAACATGTATGATTAGACTTTTTTTATGTGTAATTAAATTTTTTATATTTCTGTATAGCTAAATGAAAATGGGAAGTGTTGCCTTTGCGATTAATTTAAATAAAGTATTACATGAAAAAGCTTTATTTTAGTTAATACATTTTGTTTTTAATATTTTTAGTTAAAGGGGTCCTATTATGCTTTTTCACTTTTTCAACTTTAGTTAGTCTGTAATGTTGCTGTTTGAGCATAAAAAATATCTGCAAAGTTACAGCTCAAAGTCCACTTCAAAAGGAGATATTTTATTTAACAGAAATCACTTTTCAAAAACTACAATGAACGACTCGTTTGGACTACAACGCATATATTCCGGAATTTGTGATATCACAAATATCGACCAATGGGACGAGACCTGGTTGAGCTGCACTAGAGAAGGCAACGAGTGTTATCACTATGCCAGAGACACGCTAGCTTTCCCAAGGCAGACGAACTTAAGAGTGGTTACAATCATCCGGGTTTAAATCGCGCTCAAATTGATTTGATTTTGACGCAATATTTACGCTGAAGCTGGCAGGTGCTATGGTAAGGGGCATGACATTTCCCGACCAGGTGCCGAGTGCTGCCAATCACAACACACACTGGCCCAGCTAACCAATCACAGCACACACTGGCCCAGCTAACCAATCACAGCACATTTTGTATTTCAGAAGGCGGGCTTTCATTTGATACAGGAACTATTCGAGCTGTTCATGCCAGACTGGGGAGAAAGGTGTTGTAATAATGTAAAATATGTGAAAAATTATGTGTTTTTCAAGCAAGCTAGTATGAGAGCCTGTTCTAGTACACCCCCAAAACAAAATCAAGATTTTGTAAAAGAGCATAATAGGACCCCTTTAAGTATTATATATATATATACAGTATAGTATAACTATGTTCAGTAAATGTGAGCAGTGTCCTGTGGCTTTGCATGAAGGCACGTTTGTTGTGGATGATTAAAAGTGAGTGACCGGTTCTGAGGACTTCCTGTGAGGATTGCCGGATTATGGATACAACAAACAGACCTGAGAGGCAGAAAGAGCGCCTTTCCTCTGTCTGCATGCTATTGGTTTGGTCCGTTAGCTTACTTGCATTTAATCAGCCTCAACAAATTGAGTGAAGCTACTGTCTCTCGCTCTCAGAGATGTCTTCAGGTGATGACTCAGATTTAATGAGCTTTGATTTCCCTCACACTTGCTGCTCCAGTATCATTTCGACGGAAGTGCATTATGGGATATTTTAGTTACATTAGTGTACAACCCCCAGTCTCCCACAGCATTCACAATGACAGACACATGCATACAGAAGGGATGTAACATTTTCTTCTTGACCACTGAAGCAGCAAGAGAAATTAGTTTGTTTCCTTCATGCATAACGTCAACATAACTGCAATCTTCTTGTGCTATTACTTAATGTTTTACTTAAAATTTTATATCTAGAGCTCTCTGTGATCCTGGATCAGCCACTGGACAGATTTAGTCGTCAGTCTGCAAAACAGATAACTCTGCCACTTTTGACATCTGACAAAAATGAGAATATTTTCAGATAACTGAAACAGTGGGTGGAGTGTTAAGCTAGTCTGTACTTGCTTGTCAAGAGTTCATGTGAATGTTTTTCCTTTTCTGCAGTACATTTTGTACTCTGTGTAGGTATAGGACATTAAAGGGTTAGTTAATCTTTTTTCTTCTTTCAGACAATCCAGTCGGAGTTATATAAAAAATTGTCTTTGATCTTTCAAGCTGTTTAATGCCACTCAGTGGGTGTTGCATGCATCGGTCCAAAAGAAGTTAAATAAAAAGCGCCCATCCATTAAAAAAAAAGTGTCTCACACGGCTCCGGGGGGTGAACAAAGACCTTCTGTAGCAAATGGATGCGTTTTTGTAAGAAAAATATCCATATTCAAAACGTAATAATCACTTTAATGTAGCTTGCACCAACAGTTGTACACAGAAGCAGTTCCGGGAGCATGACGTATGAGTTCAGTGTTGCGCATGCGCCGGTGAGTTTCGTGAAAACCAACATTTGTTTACAGGATCAAAGGAAGCAAAGTTTCCTTACTTTAGCAAAGGAAAACCAGTCTCCTCTTGGCTTATATCGAAATCCTTCAACATTCTTCTTTACAAATCCTAGTTTTGTACTTCTAATTAGTGACCGTTGTTTTGTTTTGATCTCTCCGCTGCGTTTCTGCGTTGTCACTTCTGAGCGGCGCATGCGCAAAGCTGACCTCATACGTCATCCGCCCGGAACTGCTTCCGTTTACAAAAGTGAGCGCAAGCTACATTAAAGTGATTATTACCTTTTTAAATATGGATATTTTTCTTACAAAAACGCATCGATTCGCTACAGAAGGCCTTTGTTCACCCCCCGGAGCCGTGTGAGACACTTTTTTTTTTTGAATGGATGGGCGCTTTTTATTTCACTTCTTTTGAAAAGTCACTTCTGTTTAAACAGCTTGAAAGATCAAAGACCATTTTTAATATGACTCTGACTGGATTCGTCTGAAAGAAGAAAGTCTTATACACCTAGGATGACTTGAGGGTGAGTAATTTATGGGCTAATTTTCATTTTTGGGTGAACTAACCTTTAATATGCATGTAGTATATGTATAATTAAAGGAAGTATTTCTATTAAAAGATATAAAAGATTTTCAGAAATGTGCTCAGGCATTTAAACTCTTTTTTTTTAGATTATTACTTGATAGTTTACTCTATGGCAATAAAATCATAAAGATGGATCTCAACATGATGTAAATAAGAAAGCTAAAGAGATAAAGTTCACCATTTTTATATTTTTGTAACCTTTTTAAGTTTTGATAATAGAAATTACTTGATCAATTTATATAACTTTAGTTTTTTTAAATGGAATAGACTAATACCACAAAACATAATTATGGTAATAGCTTGGTAAGTTGGTAGTAAATTTACAAATAAAAAATATTAATTATATACATTTTAGTTTGTTCTAAGAAAACATGTATTGTTTGAAATATGTTGATATGTTGATAGGGGAAAAAATGAAGAAACCGTGAAAACTTGTCCAGGCCAGAAATGGCAACAGCCATTTAAACCAAAGTTTATGATTTAAAATTCATCCCTATCTTCACTTGTTTGTGATTAGGCATCTAACAGTATAAAAATGTCCTATCGCGATAATTGCCAAAACACAGTATTTATAACAGTATTAAATTGCAAACTTAATAATAAAATGAAGTGACATGTGGCCAAGTATGGTGACCCATATTTGGAATTAGTGCTCTGCATTTAACCCATCCAAAGTGTACACACACAGCAGTGAACACACACAC